TTTGATAGAGAAAATTATGCTCTTTACTATGGTCCCTCTCCCACGAATTAAAACGAAAAAGAACGAAAGTTATGAGCAAATAAAGAGAGTTACTTCAGTTTTGCAATTTTTGAGCATGCCCAAAATAGCTTAAAAACGTCACAAAAAAGGCGGGAAAGTCATAAACATGGGTTTTGTGATTTTCTCTTTCTAGATGAATAAAAATCGTGCTAATAGAGAGCAATTTTGTTTTTCGTGATTTTTTCGGATTTTCGGGCCTGTGTTTTTCACGAAAATCAAAATTGCTCTCGATAAATATAAAATATATATATATAAATATAAAACGGGAGAAACTCATCAAGTAGAAAGAAAGTTATGATTTTTTGAAAAACCGGCGAACAAACTTTTGCACCCACCTAATAAATGCAAGCAGCCACGCTAACTATATTCCAGCAATCCATCCCTCTTACATTAAGAGTAAGAGGAGACATAAGGTCTGTAGATGGAGAGCTGCTCTTAGATTATAATCAATTTAACACTGGGTGTTTTGATACTATATCCAACCTTTTTGCATGAAGAGCAAGAAGAGGCATAAGGTCTAATAGGTGGATTGTCTATAGCACATTACTTTACAGGACTACCGAAATCCAGTCAGACATGTTAAGTTGCAGACATTACCTGCCAGTCACCCTCTTGCATTAAGAGCAAGAGGAGACATAAGGTCTTTTAGTGGCATATGGCAAATAGCAACATTAACATGAGGCTGTACGTATAATAAATAGATATTGCTACCGGATTTTCGCAAACTTAAGTTGTTAAAGTAGTCCCTTGTTTCATTGGATTGCCGAAACTCATATATGTAACATCAAAGTAGATAACACAAATAGTAGTAATTATATAAGTAATTAATTAAATAACTTAAATAAATAATACATTGGGAAATAATTTATCAAACAATAATTAATATATGATAGCAATCATTTTTAGATAATTACACGTATATTGTACCATCCCAGAATGGGAAAGTTATAAACACTGACTTTCGCTGTGCTATCCAACATTAAATACAGGAAAAATACATCGAATATTCGGGAGAACCCTGGCGTGGTGTTGGGCACCCACATCCGATGCAGTTTGCATCACGGGTAACGCTCCCCAGCGATGAAGAGGCTAGCCCTAGCCCTGGAGGAAATATACTCCTTCAAAAGGAAACTGCATAAGAGTTCAGGACGGATCGCCTCGAACTCGACGGATCTTAGGTCCACCAAAAATAGTAATTCAGTTCACAAGAATATGTTCAATGTTGTCCACGTCTAGCAATGACTCTGAAAGCCACCGGTCAAAGATAGTAGATAATTCAAATTCTAGCAATTATACAGGATCAAGATGTAAGAGAAGAAAATGTCACATATGTGATAAAACTAATTTCGCCAATATAGTCAAAAGTTCCGTAACAGATTACTACTTTAAAAGTAATAAACCCGAAAACTGTGATTGTGATTCAAGAAATATTGTTTATATGATAACATGTCTCACATGCAAATTACAGTACATAGGAGAAACAACACAAGCATTGAGGACTAGAATCAACCAGCATCGCAACAGTTTTAGAAAAGGGACTTTAAATACTTTTATGGTGAAACATTTCCAAATGACAGGACATGATCCAGAACACATAAATATAGACATATTAGATTATGTTGGTGAAAATGATAATGTAAAGAAACTTTTGAGGGATAAAGAATTGCAGTGGATACAATATATTATTACGGCATATCCATTGGGTTTCAATGATCAAATCAAAGGATTTGGTAATATATCAGACAACGTGAATCCACTGGAGAAGAAAGAACATCCATATTTTCGTTGTCCAGTAGAGACCAGAAGATTTAAAGGAAAGAAAAGAAGATCTCGAAAGAAAAATACATGTCCTGATAGAACGGAATTTTAGAAAATATAAACAATCTACAAAGTCATGAGCTGTTCGTATACTTTAGAACACTTAATAAGCAAGACGTAATAAGGTTGATAGATTTTGCTTTTGCCTCTGATTTTGCGTTGTTACCGTTCGAAAAGAGATTTAAGATATATGCATTGATTGCAACGCCATTTTGGAAACGAAAAGATAGATTAAAAACTACACAAGAAGAATTAGTTATTACAATACCTTATTTAGGTGATGTTTTGGATAGATTCAAGGTTTATAAACTCTGTAATGATACAAGAACAAAAAGGATTGTAAGTGGACACATTGTACAAGATAAAGAACAAATTAACAATATTAAGATATCATTGCGATACAATTTAAGTAAACCAGTGGGTTTGGAAATGTTCAACTACAACAGCTTCCTCAAAAGACTTAACAACTATAACATGAAACTCATTGAAGAGCAAGAATGTGAGTGTAGTTCACAAACATGTTTGCACTGGAAGTCTGAATTTTATACGAAACAAGAGGTTAAGACCTATCTTTCAGAAAGGTACTAAGTACAGATCGCATACAGTTATCACAAAAGATGATATTCTGAAAGTGATAGATGAAATGGTATTACAGATAGCAACAAAGTACATCAAAAAATTCAAAGTTAACTCTTCTATCAAACTACAACTTGCTAAGTATTTGAAGGAACACTTTATAAAGAAAGTTAAAGCTAAAATTTTTGACTTGTACAATCCAGAACAGATTGAGAACGATGTAATAGACAAGAATGCTCTCAGAGTATTACAACGTCATTTCGTCATTGCTCCAATAGATAAGGCTACATCAAATTACAGTTTTACATGCAAAAAATTTTATCTTCAAATGATGAGAAAAGAAATGGAACAGTCAGCTTAGACGGCTCAACATATGTAAGAACTACTCTGCTAGAAAATCAAGTTCAAGAAAAACAAATAAGACTATTGAATAGTTTGAATATCAAACATGTAGAAGAGCAGAATGTTATACCTAGAATATATGGTATTCCAAAGATGCACAAGACACCCATTAAGTTCCGGTTTATTACCGGAGCAAAGAGATCTACGCTTAAGCCCCTTTACAAGATACTGCAATCAATGCTTGCACATATTAGAAAGCATTTTATAAACTATTGTAAAGTTATTTATCAAAGAACTAGAATAAAACATTTTTGGGCTATAGAAAATAGTAATCAAGTGCTGAAAGAACTGCTGACAGCAAATGAACAATCTTATATATAAAGCTGAATGTCTGTTTGTCTGTCTGTCTGTCTGTATGTCTGTCTGTCTGTCTGTCTGTATGTACGTATGTTCCGAATAGAAAATTCCATTTCTGAACCGATCCGGACCAAACTTGGCACACATACACTACGGGCCCCGGCGGGTGTCATAGGCTACTTTTCGTTATCGATCTCGATTTTATCGATTTTTATCGATTTCTTTGCTGAGTTCACCTACGGGGCTGGGAGTTGGCACAGGGGGGTAATCGAGCATGGGGATTCCGAATACAATATTGGTTTTCAGGATTATCGATTACTTTTATCGATTTTATCGATTTTTTTGCAAAGTTTGAGCTACGGGGCTGGGAGTTGGCACAGGGGGGGGTAATCGAGCATGCTGATCACCCCCAAGGGGGATTAATTACTAAACTAGCTAACTAACTAACTAACTACTTACTTAGCTATAACGAACCATTATCCGTCCAGCACTGTATGAAAAGTAAGTGTTGGCTTATATCAAACGGAGCGCAAGTCAGTGCCATGAAACTAGGATGCTCTCATTTCACCTGCAACCTCTTTATGTAGATTTGGATGCTGTGATGGACCCTAGGCATCACACTGAAGTTCACATCTGCAATGACACCATACGAGCCCAAAACTTTGCTACAATCGCCCAGAAAATGCAGGAGAGGAGATTACGGGAGAAAAAAGGTAGCTGAAAATGTACAAGGACCGGTAGCGAAGGTCACAGAAGAGGAACTTCGAAGCACTACAACGAAGACGAAGAATAGCAAGGCAAAAGCTCTACGACCTCACTGAGTTCTGGAAAGAGCGGTCTAGTTACCGAGCAGCTAATCTTACTTCCCAACTGAATGGTAAAATGCAAGAAGGTGCCCAACTTGGTACGAGAGCGCAACAATATCAGTGTGGGAGAACAAGGGGCAGCGTACCCAAGAAAGGAGCGCCAATGGATCACGAAATTTTTTTACATGAGTTATAAAAATGAGGTACAGAATGAGCTACTTACGTCAGTTATAAAAGTGGTGACTTCTCATACTTGTAAATAACTAAAATAATCTATTTTTTTTAAGAATCAGAATTAGTCTTTTGAGAAATTTTTCTGGGGAGTAGCTGACGGCCGACGCCATCCCTTTTTTCTGAAATTTCGAAGTTATGAGTCCGCAGAAATTTTTGGAGGCATACCAAAAAAATTCCGGTGGCTGAAAATGAGAATTCGAAGCATCATAGAGCTAGGGCAAACAAAACGGGTTTGTGAAGGGATGCACGATGACGTCATCCGCACAACCAGAACAATGATCGAACAAAGCAGGGAAAGGCAATGTAAATACGCCGCATCTTAGCTTTTTTCACTCGACAGATAACCGAAATAATATAGTGGGCACTGCCTAGACATATGTCACCAGGGCGGTAATAATCTCCTCGACCCAGGTCTCGGCGGCATCGCCGGCACTTTCCCGTAAGATGGCCAGAGACATTCCAGCCATTCTTCGGAATTTCAACCTTTTTCATCCTCTCTTATACTCCTTACTCATCTGTCACTCTCTCGTATACTCTTTCACTAGTTATTATCACATTCTATTCTTTTATTTCTTATAAAACGTCATAACATGCATTCGTACGCGTGTTTGTCATTCTCCTAAACCTGCTGGAAGAGGCTTAGATTATGAAGTATTGCAATGAAGATGCTTGGTTTGTCTCACTTGACTTCAATAGGGATATGAAAATTGCTATTTCGGTTCATAATATAGTTTCTCTTCTTTTAGAGCGTTCGAAGATCATATTATTTGAGTGTTGAGACTGTTACTTTGAAGCAGCTGCTACAAGATGCAATTTTGCTCGTATTCGGATCATGGGAGTGCTACAGCATACGAATTTCTTCTTGAATACTGCGATGTTCGCAATACAATCCGTCGTGAATATGTACTCCCAGATTTTTGTCGCTTGTCGCCAGAAAATTTGAGAGATCCTTTGCAAACTGCCAAGTCTTCGCAACTGAAGGATGCAGTCTATGCTGCAGAAGTCTATGCTCTGTCTATTTCTGAGTAACCGATGACGAGCTCCACACTTGTCCGCTTAGCAGCTTCATCCACTTTGCTAAATGTCAGATCAGTGATTTGACCGATATCTTAGTGAATGAAATGGATGAAGCGTCTAATCGGATAAGTCTGGCATTGTAGCCGAGATTCTGTAGTATGATTATGAGCTTGATTGAGTTCAAACAATCTTGTTCATATTCAGCTGAGCCTTCTCGATGTTGTGGATCCATGCGACATTGAGGAAGCGCTTGCTCAACGCCGAACATCCGCACTATACGACATTTCTTCGACAACAGCCAGTCCAAGAAAGTCAGTATTTAGTGATTCTCACCCAGGTAACATTTCTCCGTGATTGTGTTATTGCAGCAAAGAAGTTTCAATAAAATACACTCGTCGTGCTGTCAACTTAATCGACATTTGTAGAGTTAGTGAGTTTTCCGCGGATGATGTTGAGGTAGGAATTGTTTCTCGAGAATGGCCTACAGTGGATCCACCAGTGCCGACAGAAACAAAAGAGTATGTTCTAGAACTAATGAGATATTGCCATAAATTTCTCGTCGAAACTACTTTTTTGTGGTTTCAGTCTGAAAATTGAGCCATTTTTACGGGACATTATCGCATCTTTTACGGATCAATTCTCGCTGGTGCAAAGACGGTGCGTTGTTATTCTTGTATCTATTGCTGATGTGGCGTTTTGGTATCGCTTATTCTCATTTTGATTCTTTATATCGTGTTTAGCTTGCCTCAATACTTTCTAATTATCTGAGAGCCACCTATAAGGTGAATGTCGTTTTTTGTATGATTCGGCTTGGATTGAGTGCAAGTTTATTCTCCACTCAGAGGAAAATTGCCATCAAAACTCCGTGCTTGCAATAATACCAATTTTCTTACCGCTACTAGTACGTGGCTAATCTAAGTTATAGAGGAGCTACGGACTTGGGCTCATTTAGAGAACTTATTGGCTTGAGTTACCTTATTTCGCATTATGTTTAAAGTTTCAAATCTGCACGATAAGCCCGCAATGACACTGGTGTCATTATCTGGAAGTAATTTGTTTGCCACTGAAAAATCGATCAAGTTTTCTATTGAACCGTGGTGTGAAATTTCCAAATTCACGTGTTCATTACAGGTACCAACGGTATGGCTCTGCTGATGCGTATGTTCGTATGTTGATTGAAAGACCCATCATCGTTCGTTCTACCACACGTCCGACATTCGAAGCTGACGCTGGCAGAGCGGAGAGAGTAGCTAGAAGCGTTAAGCGTAGTTGGTGATCAGGTAAGGTTTCAATTTTCCATGTGAAAAAAGTTAATTAGCTCTTTCGTACTCTACTGCGTGCGGAAGCCGCTTTCATATTGTCCTTGTCTCGTTTCTTTTTTTCTCTGAACTTCACAGCGAAAGGCAGAATTTTTCATGCATATACTAGCACCGCTAATATCTTTTTTCGCTTAGTTTTTCCTTATCTAGCAATATCATCAGCTATCTGGTCGTTTCTTTTCAGTACCCATACATACCGCTCATGTCACAAAACCAAAAGAGCGTACCAAATTGCTGTTGGTGCAAATCCCAGGAAAAGATCAGTTGAGTTTCATTTTTTGCTATTCTGCATTTATAATTTGTTACTCACATATCAGAAAGGAACACGTTTTTTTTCTTTTTGTATTCATCAGTCAAGTAGAATAGAACCCTGAGTTCTCATACCTCATTTTTTGTTTGCAACCATACCTGTTCTTTTTAAGGCATGTTAGCTGTCCCGAAAACTCCAAGTTGGTGGCAGCCCCTCGTTATACGACGATGCTCCTGCTTATGGTCCTCTCATTGCTGGCATTCCTACGGTTCTCAGCAGGTGCGAATCATATGAATATGGAATTTTTTGTTCTTTTATCAGTTCAAACATTTCATCAAGTTTTTTCTTTAGGTTCAATTTAATCTACAAGGTGTCAACGCCGCCAATAGCCGATACGCAATGGATTACTTTTTTTACCAAGTTTCATTACCAAGTTGAATGCCTATGCTCAACGTACGCTGCAAATGTAGCACATTTACCCCGATCTACTCGGCAGAAATATGGGCCCGAAATCTCTTTACGTTGACCGCTCATGGAAAGTTCACAATGACATCTTTATAAGTTTAAGTTTCTTCGATATGTCCACATAATCGTCTTCCCTAATTCGCTTGCACTGCCCATCAAAAGTCCCGGGTAGTTATGTTTTCTGGCTCATTTTTTGCACTTGATAGCTTAACACATTCATGACCCTCTGCTTAACACATTGACGACCCTCCTGACACACCATGTGTGTCGAGCGATGGCGACCACGAGGGACTGCTTGACACGCATGGTGTTTCAAGACCTGAACTTTTTTAATAGCGAGTATCTTGGTACAGACATTCTATATCAAATCACTCATATAATCCTTCACTCAAACCTCAGACCAGCAGACTTTAGTCTTCTTCCATCCTGTTCATCAACTTAGCTGGAGGCCTGAAAAACTCAATTCTTGGTAATAGGAAAATGAGTTTGACCCTAGACCCTTCACTCAGAATACGTCACAGACTGCGGCGCTGTATCCCTTTACCGCAATCGGCGGTGTATTCTGAATGAACTCTTACTGATCCTCCTCATCACTCAGTTCATCAGAGGATGAACTGAGCGACGGAATGCTCGAGTCGGATTCGGCTATGGATGTGATATCAGTCGAATCTGTATCAGCATCTATCTGCTCCCGAGCCTTCTCTTCTTCTTTTCGCACGTCTTCAAACCATCCTCTGGTCATGCTAGGAGGTACCCTCTCCATCCATCCAACGGCTCTGCCTTTTACCTAGGTTAAAACAAGTGCCGAAAATTCTCAAATGATGTCTTCATATATTGTGCATTACCGCTTCTAGCCTGTCGCTGGTCTTCCCGTATTTGCACAAATGTGCTTTCAGTTGGCTCCAACAGGATTCCACTGGATTAAAGAAGCAGTGGAATGGGGGTAGCCTGATAACATTCACCCCCACGTCCTTACACATCTCATCACATGCGTACTTCCGCAGTCGATCGATGCCGATGGCGTCCACCAATCTTCTTAGCTAAACAAAGAAACTATTGTAGCTCTCATTAAACGGCTCTGAGGAGCACCTTAACAAGCAATTCAGCTTTTGTACTTCTTTCCGATACGGCCACCCCCTTCAGCTCTAAATAGCCCTTTATCTCGGCTTTAGTCGATGCGGATGTTGGTACACGTTCAAGCTGTCTTGAATGGTAGGGGGCATTATCCATGATCAAGCTGATACGCGCGCCGGCTGCCCATAATCGCATATGCGGTAGAGCGTTCTTAAGCCATTCCTCGAATACCTCGTGATTCATGTCACGATGGTAATCACCGTCGTATGCACGACGGTGACTTACGAAGATTTTGGTGCAGTTAGGAATGACTCCATTAACACCTAACGCGGCTATTACGATCGCGCGGTGGCCCTTGTTCTTTCCTTTGGTCCTGCCACCGCACGAGTATCTCTGGAGAACTTCGGCCGAGGGGAATCTAGGTATTTTCGTGTCATTCCACCCCCGCTTCCTCACCATTCCGGCAAAGATCCAAGTCTCATCCAGATAAATTATACAATCCTCTCGGGCCCTGGCCTCGGCTATCAAGCGAAGATATCTTTCTCGCTTTCTCACTAGGTCTTCTTTTTCGAAAATGAACTTCTGTCTATCGTTCAATTTGTACGAAAAGCCCATTGCTTTAAGAAGCCGGTGCAACGTCGTTTGTGAAAGACGAAAATCTTCGTAATCAGAAGTGAGCTGCGAATGCAGCTCCCTCAGTGTGACGTCTTCCTCGTCGGTGAGCTTATCATGTATTGTTTGACGGATGGTTTCCCCCCACGTCGGTCCATATCGCTTAAGAGCTTCTTCTCTCCTTCTTTTTATTGTTAACTCCAGTTTTGCCCGTTTTGGTGAGGCATCCATACTAGCTTCTCTTCCAATCTTGCTGATCATACGTTCCGAAATGCCGCACGCAATGGACGTAAGTTTCCTCGGTTTCGCAAATACAACATTTGCCGACGTGCCAGCCATCTTCACCTTCATTATTTCAAAAAAGTTCCTCACTCGGGCGATGATAGTATGGCCCGAGGCCTTATAGCTCCAACGAGATGGCATAGGAGCATTATGCACGGCTGCGATTCGTCTCGTGCATACCTTCTCACAATTCACACACTTGAATCCTGCTCCCTGAAAAGGTAAGATCAATAGCATTTCTATGGAAAATGATAGGAAAAAAAATTTTAAAAAATTAAAAAATTAAAAAAAATTTAAATCAATTTTTTTAGAAAATTTTAAAAATTATAAAAATAAAATTTAAATTAAAAAATTCAAAAACTTAAAAAAATTCAAATTTAAAAATTTCAAGAAAATCAAAAGAAAAATTTTAAAAATGAAAGATTGAAAAATTTAAAAAACCAAAAAATTCATCTAAAATATATTTATCTATCATTATATCATAAAATTTCCGAGCATATGAAATGAAAAAATGAAAATGATTCAGAACCCAGTACAGGTGGAGCAGTACCCAAGCAGGAGACCAGCTTTGTCATTGTCAATCTGCATTAGCAAGAATCTTTGAAGTCCTTACTAACTGCATTTTTCAATGCTGTGAGCTGGTGAAACAGAAAATGGTGTCGGGTAGAACCAATGGATGTGATAATCAGTCGTAGCGTAGAGCGTGGCCTAGTGCGGCATGGATGAAGCAGTAGTGTGGCGGGTCATCCGGTTGTCAAATATCAGTAGCTAGAGTAGGAATAATCTCCGGCAGTTTCCAACAAAATCGCCACTTATCCGATTTTTCCAAAATTGTAATTAAGGAAGTCTTACGAAATATAAAACTCATACATACCGGATAGTATGCTGTTTGTTGCGCTTCCGACAAAGTGAGTGTGTTGTTTTGTCTTGAAGTTTCCAAGACAACCTATAACAAGGAGTACTTTTAGTGACAACCGTGACAACTGCAGCATTGTCATTGAAAATGTTTTGGAAAAAGGCAGAAAAGGCCTTCTATAGATGAATCCACTTTTTGACATTTTCTAGTTCTCAGGCTCACTCAGGAGGGCAAAAATGCCACTGACGTTGCCGCCAAGCATGTTTTTGGAATATCAAATTCATTATCGAAATTTCAACTGGACATACGCAACTTTCCTTTCCTTCGACAAGAAAGAGAAAAACCGTAGTTTCAGTACTGATGTATACCCTCTACAACATAAATACTTTTGGATACTATAAGAAACCGAGTTCTTGTTCCTATCCCTCCTTTGGGTATGGAACTTATCTGATTTTGATTATTTACCTTATTTTTCAATTTTTCTAATTTTTGCATTTTTGAATTTCGATTTTCTATTTTTCCTATCATTTTCCATAGAAATGTAAATGTCTTATTTTTTCGAGAACTGGATTCAAGTGTGTGAATTGTGAGAAGATATGCAGGAGACGAATTGAAGCAGCGCATAATGCTTCTATGCTTCCTCTCAGAGCTATAAGGCGAAGGGCCATATTATTACCGCTCGATTGAGAAACTTTTTTGAAGTAATGAAAGTGAAGATGGCTGGAACGTCGGCAAATGTTATATTTACGAAGTCAAAGAAAATAACGTCCATCGCGTGCGGAATTTCGGAGCGAATAGTCAGCAATGGAACAGAAGTTAGTATGGATGCCTCACGAAATGGGCAAAACCAGAGCTAACAATAAAAAGAAGATGAGAAGAAACTTTGAAGCGACATGGACCGACGTGGGGGGAGATTATCCGCCAAACAATACATGATGAGCTCAGGGACGAGGAAGAGTTACGCTGCGTCAGCTGCATTCGCAGCTGACTTCAGATTACGAAGATTTCCGGCTTTCGCAAACGAGTTGTACCGGCTTATCAAAGCACTGAGCTTCTCATACAAACTGAGTGATAGACAAAAGTTCATCTTCAAAAAAGGAGCCTAGTCAGAAAGCCAAAAAGAGATACCTTCGCTTAATAGGCGAGGCAAGGGATCGAGAGGAATGTCTAATATACTGGACGAGACTTGGATATTTGCTGGAATGGTGAGGAAGTGGGGTTGGAATGATACAAAAAACCAAGGTTGCCCTCGGTTTTTTGTCCTCCAGGGATACTCCTGCGACGGCAGAACCAAAGGAAGGAACAATGGCCTAGCGCGATCGTAATGTCGCGGTAGGTGCTAATGGAGTTATTCCAAATTGCACCAAAATCTTTCTCAGTCACCTTTGAGCATTGACGGTGATTGCTATCAAGACATGAACCACAAAGTGTTCGAAGAGTGGCTCAAGGACGCCCTACCTCATATGCGAATATGGGCAGTCGGCACATGCGTTAGCTTGAACATGGACAACACGCCGCCCCACCATTCTAGGCAACTCAAACGTGTGCCAACATCAGTATCAACTAAAGCTTACATAAGGAACTGCTTAGAGCTGAAGGGGGTGGTCGTGTCGGAAAGAAGCACAAAAGCTGAATTGCTTGTTAAGGTGATCCTCAGAGCCGCTTAATGAGAGCTACAATAGTTTTTTTGTTTAGCTAAGAAGATTGGTGGACGCCATCGGCATCGATCGACTACGGATCTACGCATGTGATGAGATGTGTAAGGACGTGGGTTTGAATGTTATCAGGCTACACCCATTACAATGTCTCTTTATGCAATCAATCAAAGACTCATCATGGATTCCGCCATCTCTTTAGAGAATTTATTTCTTATTGATAACAATGCAATTCAACTATGCACCGATTATCAAACTTCATTTATTATTGTACTTATTACTTCAGCAAATGCGTGAATAACTTCATTGACATATATGAATAAAGGCTTCATACGTAGATTTGTCTCCAGTGTTTTTCTGGTAATCCCTAGAAGTGAACCATAGGCGGCAAATTCCCGACGTAATTCTCAGTGAACCTGCAAATAAGTTTTGGAAAATTTACTAATGATATTATAAATTAAAATATCACTAAATTTCCAAAAATTCAAAAAATAAAGTTCCAAAAATAAATTTCATGTGAAGATATGGAAGACACCTGCTGATTCCTTGTTTTGAATGGAGTTTGTCGTTGAAATTCACAAGTAGTATTGGCAAATGACAGTCCTTGCAAAGGTCCGTTGTAGGTTCGCGACTTTGTTCCAAAAGACAAAAATAATCACTAAAAGAGTTCACAAAGTCAGGTAAGAAAGAAGAAGTAAAAAGAAACTTTTTGCACACCTGTGAGCGCTGGCGATGATGTCATGGGATGCGAATGACGAACAAAAAGAGTAACGACGACAGTCCGATAGTCCGCATTGGCGATCCTCACAGCCATTCAGTGCCTGAACATACGTACCCATTCAGTGGATTATGCAACGAAATTCGCAAATCTGCAATATTTTCGGAAATGAAGTGTTATGATTGACGAGACGATTGACACATAAAAATTTAAAGCACGGAAAAGTACAAAAGAGTGTCTTGGAAATAGATAATCTTATGCGTGAGCATGCCTGCAAGATCTCGAATAGGCAGAACGGACTTCTGTCCAAGTAACATCCGGGATTAAGTATCGGTAATGGCGCCCGTGCCCGGTCGCCATGCCCGGACAAGAACCCCAACCCGAATACAATTTGCCCAGATTCTGCCACGATAATGCAGCGCATCAGCATCCAAAACTAGCAATACAAGCGATTAAAAACACGTTTCACTTACTCTGCGTATAACGGTGACGAACAGCTTAGCAATTGCCATCGCGGGTACCTCGGGATTACGAGCCTATAATCAGGTCTTGTACTAATAAATACCAATATATTATGTTGTTCTGAAAGTTTTGTCCCTTTTTTCAAACTACTATAAAACCACACACAATAAAGACTTGAATAAGTTGCAACATGCATTCGATGCATCTTTTAACTCTCTTTCATAAGGATACATTTTCGATCCATAACCTTGCATGTTTTTTTGATAGTTGGCAAAATTCTTCACCCGTTAATTTTATCTGTTCAAAGTTAGGCTGATTTTTAGAAATTTGGTTTGCTCTTCAAAACAGTTACCAGCGCTTGGCGTAACCGCTAAGCTGCTCAAAAATCCATGGTGATAACAATGTAAAGACAGGGTAGATCAGAGAGCAAATATAGATGTAAAAAAGAGGATAAAAATGTGAATTATATGGAATCTAAGCCATCCGAGAATTGGCGTTCTGCGAGTTTTAGTGAGCGATGAAAAAATAGGGCAAAACTTTCGGAAAAACTAAATACAACCGCAAATCATGTTCAAAAAATCTACCTCATTAGAAGCAAGGAAGTGACCAATTATCTGGGACAAAAAGATTGTGGGATTCACTGATGATCCTTGTGATAAATTCTGTAAACAGTTCTAATGTGATTAATTTAGAGATTTCTCTAATTACTTACGTGTTGAAGGAAAATACTGAGGATTAATTCCGATAGAGCGAAAAATGGCTCGGAAACAGAAGCAGGAGTATCCGTCAACGACTAGAAAGGAAAAAATGAATGTGTCATAACTTATAATAACGGGCTGAGGGTTGTTTACGTTTGTCTGTGTGTGTGAATTTGTGTCTGTCACGAAATTCGTAGAGCGTGTTCCAGCCAACGTTCTGAGCCCAAATTTTGCATAGCGCACGCTACCAGCATGAAAGCTCACTATACAAAAGCACAAGCGGATCCGTTGAGTGGATCCATTCAAAATTGCGCGTCAAACGGATCCACTTGGCTTCTGGCCAGCAATTTTGGGTCCGTAGTACTACTTTTTGCAGAGTTAAGGATACATTTGACAAGCTAATGTGCAAGCCGTGGACGTTAGCCTAAAAAAGTAATGAAAAGTCTACTACTTTACGAAAACAGCGCCAAGAAGCATTCGCTGAGTAAACGGTCAATTTTTCAAGATTTTGCCTGATCATTTGAAAAGATTTTTGGACAGCGATGTAGCCCACTATGTTTATTGTCCTTACGGCGAGTACCAAGCCATAAAAATCTCAATAACCTAACGTTAAGCAGCAGGCGGTGATTCTATGTGGGTCGCTTACTGGACGCTCTACTCCTAAAGGTTTTTTCGCACGTTCTATTCGGTGCGGGAGTGGAGGGCAAAACGAGGTGCTCAGGTTGAGGTGAAGCGCAAGACGGCAGGGAGATAAGCACTGCCATTTCGCTCGGTAGTGTACACCGCCTGACGGTTAGGCTACCCAGTTCCTTGTGAAACCGGGTATGCCAGATGTAACATATAAGCGGGGGGAAGGGGCTCGCTGTGATGAACAACGGCCCTGGCTGGGCCGGGAAAGTCAACTAGTGAACGATCAAAACAAAGAAAAGCTCCACCTCGTTGGACTGATCCATGTGATTAGGTTGTGCGGAGTCCATTTTTGATGGTATTGAAGACTAGAAAAGAAATGTAAATGAAAGAAGGAATAAGACTAAGAAAAACTTCACCTCGTCGGACATATCCACATGACTCTCGCGATTTAGTTGCGCAGAGGCCAGCAATGATGAGAGAGAAGACTAGAAAGGAAACATTGTAAATGAAAAAAGGAGGAAAACGAAAGAAAGCTCCACCTCGTCAGACTGATCAAAGCGTTGCGAGCGATTCAAGTGGGCAGAGGCAAGTTCAAATGATGAAACAGAAGACTAGAAAGGATACATTGTAAATGAAAGAAGGAATAAAGCAAACAAAAAACTCCACCTCGTCGGAGAGATCCATGTGACGCGCGCGATTGGGTTGCGCAGCAGCCAGTTTGAATGATGACGAAGAAGTAGATGACTAGAAAAGAAATGTAAATGAAAGAAGGAATAAGACTAAGAAAAACTTCACCTCGTCGGACATATCCACATGACTCGCGCGATTTAGTTGCGCAGAGGCCAGCAATGATGAGAGAGAAGACTAGAAAGGAAACATTGTAAATGAAAAAAGGAGGAAAACGAAAGAAAGCTCCACCTCGTCAGACTGATCAAAGCGTTGCGAGCGATTCAAGTGGGCAGAGGCAAGTTCAAATGATGAAACAGAAGACTAGAAAGGATACATTGTAAATGAAAGAAGGAATAAAGCAAACAAAAAACTCCACCTCGTCGGAGAGATCCATGTGACGCGCGCGATTGGGTTGCGCAGCAGCCAGTTTGAATGATGACGAAGAAGTAGATGACTAGAAAAGAAATGTAAATGAAAGAAGGAATAAGACTAAGAAAAACTTCACCTCGTCGGACATATCCACATGACTCGCGCGATTTAGTTGCGCAGAGGCCAGCAATGATGAGAGAGAAGACTAGAAAGGAAACATTGTAAATGAAAAAAGGAGGAAAACGAAAGAAAGCTCCACCTCGTCAGACTGATCAAAGCGTTGCGAGCGATTCAAGTGGGCAGAGGCAAGTTCAAATGATGAAACAGAAGACTAGAAAGGATACATTGTAAATGAAAGAAGGAATAAAGCAAACAAATACTCCACCTCGTCGGAGAGATCCATGTGACGCGCGCGATTGGGTTGCGCAGCAGCCAGTTTGAATGATGACGAAGAAGGAGAGCACTACAAAAGAAACACTGTAAACGAAAGAAGGAGTAAGACGAAGAAAAACTTCACCTTGTCGGACACATCCATATGACTCGCGCGATTAAGTGGCGCAGAGGCCAGCAATGATGACATAGAAGACTAGAAAAGAAAGAGTGTAAATGAAAAAAGGAATAAAGCAAAGAAAAACTCCACCTCCTCGGACTGATGCATGTGATGCGCGCGATTTTGTGGCGCAGCAGCCAGCTTGATCGATGACGAAGAAGGAGATGACTGAAAAAGAAACACTGTAAATGAAAGAACGACTAAGACAAAGGAAAGTCCACCTCGTTGGACTGATCAACGCGATGTGCGCGACTCACGTGTGCAGAGGCCAGCAACGATGAGATGGAACACTAGAAAAGAAACATTGTAAATAAAAAAAAGGAGGAAAACGAAGAAAAGCTCCACCTCGTTGGACTGATTAACGTGATGCGCGCGATTGGGTTGCGCGGAATAAAAGAAGGAATAAAACAAAGAAAATCTCCACCTCGTCGGATAGATCCATGTGATGCGCGCGATTTGATGGCGCAGCAGCTACTTTGAATGATGATAAAGAACGTGAGGACTAGAAAAGAAACATTGTAAATGATAGAGCGAGGAAAATAAGAAAAGCTTCACCTCGTCGGACTGATCAACGCGATGCGCGCGATTGGGTTGCGCGGAGTCCACTTCTGATTGAATTGAGAACTAAAAAAGAAACACTGTAGATGAAAGAACGAGCAAGACAAAGAAAAAATCCACCTCGTTGGACTGATCAGCGCGATCCGCGGCGCGATTGGGTTGCGCGGAGTCTACTTCTGATGGAATCGAAGACTAGAAAAGAAATAGACAATGAATAAAAGGCTAAAAGAGAGAATAAAAAGAATAAAATAACAACTGACAGAAGGTTCACAACATGGAATCATTCAAACAAAAAAAAAAGAGAAACGAAAATCATAGAAAATTTACCTTGGTCCCCATAAACACGGCTATGGCGTTCGAGATACGACCGAGTTGTTCTTGCGAGTATGAGTCCGACTACAAACAATTTGAAAACTTTTTGAAAACAATTAAATTGGATTCCTACCTGGAAGAGCTCAGAGATAGTTTTCTTCAGATTATTCACAGGAAGATCATTTACAGATGCTTTGTCTGCTGAAGACATAATGATTACCTAAAAAAAGGACATATTCATCACCATTCTCATATGTTAGACCGAGGTTTCACGGAAAAACGAAATAACACGTAAAAAATAGTCGATAACAATGAAGAACGATCGTACGAATGCGTTAAATGGCGTTTTACGAGAAACAAAGCAAAAGAATGTGATGATATGAAGGAAAATAACGTTGTTGTAGCAAATAAAGCATTGAAATTGAATGAAAACACTTTAGAAGTAGTGAAAGAGTATACGAGAGAGTGAGAGAGGAGTAAGGAGTATAAGAGAGAATGAAACAGCTAAAATTTCCGAAGAATTCGACTACAAGAACAGTAAAACAGCTGCGGCGGTCGAATCGCGCGAGCAAACGGCGTCGCGTGCGTGCGCGCGCGCGGTGGTTCACATGGGAACCTGTTCGGGGCGCAGACGGTACATACAGACATACAGACATAAGACATACAGACATACAGACAAACAGACATTCAGCTTTATATATAAGATAATCAGCTGATTATGTAATAATTTCATTGGGATCGAATGAATACAAAAACAAACAACTAACCTTTTTTATTCATGGGTCCTTTTTTCGAACTTTGGCATAGTCGATGAATCCTTTGAATGTTTGTGCTACTACAGTTCATTACTAAGGCACTTTATTCGTGCCTTATATTTTGTTTGAAAAATTTCGCCATTTCCAAATAGCCCATCTCTGTTAAAGCATGTCCACAACATCTGAACTGTTCATTTTTGTAATCAGTTGTGGGAGCGTATTAGGAAGCTGGCATTAGTCCAGTTTCATCGCACTTGGTGAATGTGGATGCTAGATTGCGATCGCACAAGACCTTTGATGGCATAAAGCGTTTGGAATACTGAATCAAATTATTTTCAGTGCTTGATTAAGGCGTACGCCGAAATGTAAGGCACAAACAAAGTGTTTCAATAACAACCTGTGCACATAACATCCAAAGATATTTAAAACCAGAGTTTTCAGAAGGGCTTGCATATGCTTTTGCACACCACCGACAGCGAAAAACTGCATTATTCTATGAAGAGTGTGAGTAACGTGTTTGATTGAGTCTAATCTTGTCAAAGCAGACTCTTTAATTTATTCGAAGATATCCCGATACCTGGCCACTTCCACCGAAGCCTCACCTGGCCGTTATCATGTGCTTGTAAGCCATGAGATATTATGACAAATTTATCAGAGTTTTAGCAAACATACGACGTACCATTGTTCGCTTTGTTCGATAATATTTGCCCGTTCAATGACATTCATTTGGTTATCACAATTATCACATAAGTCTTGTTACACTTTGACCGATATAAGTCGTATACTTCTTGCTTTCAATAAGGCTTCAAAGTATAAGTTTTCTCACTAAGTTTCTATTTTTGCCATTTGATAATGGTCATGAGGAGTTTATGTGGATACAATCATTGAGCAATTTTTTGCCGTACCAAAACTGCAAGAAAAAACATGGTAAGCTTCTCTTAGGAAGATGATCTTATCAATCTCATTAACCTTTAATAGAAATTATGAAGGATGTGTCCCTAGGTTGTGTTTCGGGCAAAAAACAGTTGCTCCGGTCCAAAGTATGTACACGACAAAGATCCGCTTTTCCAAACAAAACTGTCTTTTCTCTTAGATGTGCCTGTGGAAACAAAGCGGGAGCGCCTAACAAGGGAAAGTTTTGAGGTATAAGACGGGCTGACTGAAATATGTAGGTTTCTTTTTATTCCTGTGAACTGCGTTGCGGCATGAGAACACTCACAATAGTGAGACTGTAAGTGACTGAGGCATTTGAATCCTTCAATTCATGAAACATTTTATACCTTCATTGATATTCCCTGAGGGACGCATGTGTTGTTGAACTTTTACTATGCAAGTAAAATATCCACATATATTTAAATTCCCAAGTATTTCATAATCTTCAATAAACTTTTTATTTTCCTGAACACTATTTATTCAACCCGATTTTATCCAGCTCAATCTACTATGTAGGTGGAAATAGAAAATTTCAGTATTTATATTCAAGCTTCAGATGTGCAGCATATAGTTTATTGAAAATCAGTATGAAATCAATAACAGCACTCATAAGAAAAGTTTCAGCCTGCTTGAAACTTTTGAAGGCTTTCTAAAGCGTAGCAACTTGTTTTAAACTGTTAAAAAATGTCACAGAATAAAGACGGAGTCTACCCACTTCTACTGTAAGTGTGACACATTCCTTAGAGATCGTGATTACATCACGCTGAACTGTATGCTTTAATAAAAATGCAGAAGGCGAAATTACATTTAATACAAACTAAAAATTTGATGGTCTTATGCTTAATTGAAGCACCATTTCTCTTAACTGGAGTCGTTTAAGCGTTTTCTTCAATAATAGAGATTAGTTAAAGTATCAAGATTTAACATGAAAAAGCTGCGAATTAGATGCACTCTTTGGAGAGACAAAAGATTTGGGGTGTGCATCATTAGAATTGAAAACGCATTTGTATGAATTGAGGCTGATTTAAAATTGCATTTCAGCATAATGGACATCTTTCTATAGCGGTGTACTTTCGTATGCATGGGCAACGAAAACGACATTTGCGCGAGGGACTGAAGCATTAGAACATAGCCAAAAATAATGTAGGTGGTATCAAATGTAGACAAGAATGTATAGATTTGTTACCGCTTTTGTTGAAAACTTATGTCCAGCTTTTTGTTAGCCGCACAAAGCATACACATTTCAAGTACAATGGTTTGTTATGAGCATTTTGGAAGCAAAATAACAAGCTACCAAAAGAGCAAATTGTGTACCGCAAAACTTATAACGGTGTTGCACGATTAATAAAACCTCATTTATAAACACTTTCCACGTTTTTCTGCTAAAAATCGTGGATAGTGCAATTTTTGCCGAAAAATCGTGGAAGCGAAGAAAGAACAAGAAAAAGAAATTCATAGATCAGCTTGGGTGTACATGTCTCGTGTGTTTTGAAACAGAAGAAGAATGAGTTTGAAGGACAGCGGCCATATAGAGAGTCCCAGAATATGCGTTAAACATTTGATTGATAAACTTCTTGTCTATACAGCTTTCGCATTACAAGTGTCATGGTGCTGTAGAGCTGATCTTGATTTGACTTAGGATAGAAAACAAATCAGAGACATATCCTCATTAGCGTAGAGTTACGGTAGGAATTTTGGAAAGTTGCGCAAATAAATCCAGAGTATGCTAAAGCTATCCAAAATAAATTGGAAACTTTGCTTACCGAGTTGGCAAGCATTGCTCTTTATTAAAACGACAGTATGCCCTAATAGCGTCCTACGGAGTGTCAAAACTACTATTATGCCATGTTCTACAGGCATATATAAAGTGTATCTTTCAAAATTAGCGATTTAGCGATTAAGTACCATTACAAAACTTTTCGTCGTTTGTTAGAAAATTTGCAAAAAATGTCAGTAGAGTAATCGTGTCAGTAGCTTGTGCCTTCAGATTCTGTGGTGGAGACTTTATTGACCTTACGTTTCGACAATGTCGTCGTCATCAGAGGTCTCGACTTCACCGGCCAGCGACAAGCCCGCACATTTGGTCGTAACGGACGTCACGGAAGAATTTGAAAAAAAATTTGCAAGAAATATATTGCAAATTTTCTTACACGGCAGCTGATTTGTATGAAGATATTATGCAGGAAGTTTCGTACTCCTACATGCAATAGGTAATTCGTTTTTTCCACGCAGACCTAAGCAAAATCCAGCTTTAAACAAGTCCTAAAGATTTGTGAAAGTCTCTTAGACAAGAGAGGTTTGCGAATATTTTGATCGATACATTTTTTACATATTCTATTCTAGGTTATTTTAGGTTATTTTAAGTTATACAAAGACTGTTTGCTTGTGTTTGTTTTCTCTAACTCTATAAAGACCTTCAGAGCTTGGACTCCGTCTGTGTTTCACCAATTAGGGAATTCCATTTGCATTTCAGTTTATTCTCTGTATTTCTGAGATTAAGAAACACAGCTTCCAGGATGCACTATGCACTAAACCAACAAAGGACTCGAAGCTTTTGTTGAGTGACGAATTTGCACTTTATTCGAACGCATCTCTTTTCGAACTTCCCCTACCCACATAGCGTTGAAGCAATCGAAATCCCTACTATCTTTTTGAAATATAATAGCTAAGTTACGGAATATGCTTGACTGTACCACAACATGGTTACATTTCACTGGATGAAACAAAAGGTGAAAAAGCTTGACAGAAGTGAGTCGCACTCCACAAGTTTATGGTATATCGACTATAACTATGCAGGGGCAGATAGTTTCTTTTTTAACTTTTTCTGTGAGTAAGCTATATATTAGGTTGTTCCGAAAGTAATGTCGCTTTTTTCAATTGAACGCTACATTTCGTGGAAGCAAGGTCTCTAGGAGATCTTGATAGCATTCGTTGCAGCATTTCATCCTCTTTCCAATGTCTGTAATTCCACTGCAGAATACTTGATGAGCTTTTGAAAAATTACTAAAATCTCCAACCCATGCTTTTTGGGAAGGTCATGTTTCACAATTTTTCTAATTTTTTGTAATAACTCCCGGAAGGAGTCCAAGTAATGGATGGATAGAGCAAACCCTATAGGAAACGGTGCTATTTTTTTCTGCTCTCCGTATCTCGTCATAATTTTTGTAAAGATTTTTCAATGAAGTCACCGAATTTTTGCAGGCTTGTCTCAAACACATATGCATCAAACACCAATAAACTTTCGGATTCTGAAACTTACAAAGGTGGATTATAGTCTGGCACTAATTTTGCAAAACAAATGAGCGTTTACGCTTCAGATTAGCAACTTTCGGAAACTTTGGGTACAGCCTGGGGCGCCTTGTAAAACCTGAATTATGATGATTTCATCCCGGAAAACTTGGTGAATCGGAAACCAAAAACAACTGGTAGAAAGAGGAGAAAAAGCTGCGTCTAATGACACTCGAGTTGCTTGCCGGTTGTTGTTCTGTGAGGTCTGAGTTGACCAAATATGGAATTTGATAGCACTGAAAAATTGGTT